GGTGTATAACTGTCCGTAAGAACTAGGCTGGCTTAAGTTCGTATATAAATATTTTCGATTCAGATTGCAATATCGTAGATTATTGTCAACAAAAACATAAAACAAATAAGTAGACTTTGTTTTTTTTTGGTTTAAAGTGTATATGGATTCTACCCCCTATTACATGGGACTCATAATATAAGTAGTGAAAAGTGGGTGTTAAATTGTGCCCCTCTGCCTACCAATCCGGGGATAAAAAAGTATGGATTCCAGAAAAAAATCTACAGGTATTATATATAATCTACAGGTATATATAAAATCTCGAGCTATTACAATGTTTTCGATTGGTGTCAAGATTCGGCCTTTAGATAGTTACAACGACATTCGATACACAATAACCAATGATTTTAATCCGAAAATTTGGATGGATCAATCGCGATTTATGACCGCTTAAACTCATAAATACACGCTTAAATACTACAACTAGAAATAAACCCTAATTTTCCCTCAAAGATAACATTATTTTAGCCTCGGAAATGGTACATATACATACATGAACACTACAGGTCCCAAAAGAGTCAAATAAATAAGAACCCTATTTTTAGACAGTCTCAGCACAAAACCCGTTGACCAAATATAAACATGATTGACACTGCGACACGGACATAGTAATTATCCTTGGGTATTCCATAGAGAGGAACAAAAAGGAAATGTGATGCAATGACACTAAAGTAGCTTTTGCAATGGGATGTCTGGTTTGGTTTATCAAGCGTTTTGAAGGAATACGAGTAATTCCAGGGCGATGACATTTATGAGAAGTATTATACCTACCTTCCTAACAAAATAGGCTAAAGTTTATTTTTTTCAAAATCAAAGAATTTATTTCAATTAAACCATAATTTGTTACTTTTGAGACGTCAATAAATACAAAATAAATAATAGGTCTGTCAGTCAGTCCATCAGTGAAGCTAAGTGAAGCTGGATTCTGGATGCTCATTCCAAAATGTAGATTCGAATGGAGAAGAACAAGCAAGAAACACCATTCGTTACTCTTTTTAAAAAAGTATGTTCTACAATGTCTAAAGCTAGGTGCTGTAATGCGTTAAAGTCACTGTTACAATAGGCATATTTTTTTTATTTAATTTATTTACTATTTACTCTTTATGCACAATGGGTATACAATGGCGGACTTAATGCCTAGTGGCATTCTTTAACAGTCAACCTTAGGGTGATGCAGAGAGATACAATAGTAGGTGTAAAAGTTATATTATGCCAGACTTCACGCTATTACAAATCAGTAGCCACTTGTGTCAGCTAATGAACTCAGTTATTAACATCAATAAAGTATGATAGTCCAATAGACCATGCTAGACCATGGGTTTCCTCTAAACAAAAGATGAACAGATAGAAATAAGACTAAAAGGTTCAAATTTGTTCAAATCAGTGAGTTGTGCTGCCCAGTCTTTTCCAAATGTGTAATTTCTTAGTTGGCTCTTACGACATCGACGGAACAGAAGAATTGGTGACAAATTAGTATATTAACTAAAATCGCGGGTTACTCACGTGAATATACTAAGAAAAGCTTTACTAGTTTCGAACCACAGAGGGGTGCATGCGACGTCGCGTTCGGTCGGTTCGTAACTAGTAGAGCTTTTCTCAGTACCTATATTTACGTGAGCAACCCGCGATTTAAGTTAATTTAGTATGTCTCACGATAGTTATTATAAAAATTAGTATATTTTATTTTAGATACCATCACCAGACGGCATGTCACGTTATATCATCATTCATCCATCATAGTGTTCAAATAATACACTTTACCCACAAAAACTTCCTATTTCCAGGTATGCACGTGATCCTTCAATGGATCAGCTACTTCCTCCCACTTACTCTGTCAACTGAGGGTCTTCGGTCTATGCTGCAAAGAGGCTGGAGTGTCAACAGCCCTACAGTCTACGCCGGCTTCATCTCCGTGACCACCTGGATCGCCGTCTACCTCACGACAAGTATCCTGCTCCTCAAATTCAAGAAGGGCTGAAGCGTCTACATCCAGCTGTAGTTTAGAATCAAATTGCTCAATGCTTAGGGTAGTTTCTTTGCCATAGATATAGTTTTGGTGTGTGAGTAGTGAATGAGTAGGTTTTTAAAGGATTTGGAACTGTGTGTTTCTTTACATGTGGTTTATTTTACAGTGCTTTGGGGAAGTAGGTAGAACACGCTGATATTTTTCTTTATAAAGTAGATGAAGATGTTGACAATTTTATTTTAACACGTTAAATAGAGTTTGTAATGAAATTGTGAACATTAAGACATCATTACATTAATAATTACGTTTTCCTTATTTTATGAGGAATGTGTGAAAAGTTGTTAATGACGACATAATATGAACTTTAGGAATTGGGCATGATTAAGTTAGGTTTAGTATTTATGTGATTGATATAGGACCTGCTAAAAAAACAGTTTGATATCAGTGCCTTTAGCCAAACGCCACTTTAGCGCTTGTCTACAGAGAGAGTAGATAACTAAATGTAACACTGACAAGTGTCAAAATTTTTCATATAATTTGGTTTTCTATTCTACATGTAGACAAGCGCTAAATGGCATTTGGCTACAGCTACAGGATATATATATAGAGGTCAAAGGTAATAAAAAAATATTTAGATTTATTTTTTTGATTATTACCTATGTACAGAAAGTGAAATGTAATTTTTTTATTATCTGACAATTTTCCACGACTTTCTGTTTTTTTTCTACAACCTGAGACTTTGCTCAAATAGTAATCAACATTTGTTTAGTTATATTATGTTCTATCGCTACGGTGCGGGTTCAATGCAAAGGGCTGGGTAAGCAGATTTGTACAATAGGTAATAATTATTTTAGAATAGCCTTTCTACTACGAGGTATTACAATAAGCACTATTAAAATAAATTATCAAATAAATCCTATATTTTTAATAGAAATAATAGTAATTGACACGGATTAGTTGTAAAATGGAGTGCTCACATACACATTCGTCAGCATTTTTATAAACAATTAATTATTTATTTTTCCAAATAACAATTATAATTCTTTTGTTTACCATTATAGCCATTTAAAAGTATGTCAATAGAGTACCTTGATAGATAAACAAATAAATTATTCCATAGGTCTATAATGAACATTATTAAAGCATATTTTAGAAGAATTGAGGCCACGGACATTGTGTTTGTACGCGAACGTTGTCACGTAGACAAATAAACAGACAAACAAGTATTTAGATTGGAGATGATTTGTCTCAAATGTAGGCAGATGTGTATTTTATAGTGGTTAATAGTGTTACACTTAAATTCCTGCTAAAAAATTTCTGTGTGTACAAATGTCAATTGTTTGACATTTCAAAGTAGAATAAAAAGGTCAATTTATGCCAAAACTTTTGTTAACATTTATCGACTTTTGTATTAATCGTTTGACTAACGTTTAAATGCCATTTTTCTAGTGGGACCGGAGTTTTATAAGTCGAAAAGTCAAGTCGAACAAAAAAGTTATGTATAATAAATTATGTTTTCAATTCTATCCCACTTTATGACTAGGCTTTAATCCAAGAGCAAAATTCCCTATGAAAGGCACTTATCTATAGATACCGTCAAGTTAATCCTTTGTATAAGCTCTCAATATTATAATCTGTGGTACTTGAATCTATTTATTTAGATACGTAATTGTGCAACCAGCAGGTCAACCCTACTCCAATTGTTTTCTTAGGCTTTTGACTTTATACAAAACTAATAAAGTTGAAAATCAAATTGGATTTTTCACAGAAAGATATATTAACTAATCGCGGGTTACTTACGAAATATACTGAGAAAAGCTCTGCTAGTTTCGAACCACAGAGAAGTTCTTCCTCATGAGCAGCGTGCGTGGTCGCGGCGATGTCACGCAGCCTACTGCGCTCGCATCGGTGTTGCTACTTACGCATCTAGTCCAACGCGCCCTCTGCCGGACACCACGAGCGTTTGTCTTCAACTCTGGCGGCGGCGCACTGGACGATGTTGACACGCACTGGTGGCCGCGACCGCACACGCTGCTCATAAGGAAGAACCCCTCTGTGGTTCGAAATTAGTAGAGCTTTTCTCAGTATATTCACGTGAGTAACCCACGATTTTTAGTTAATGTATTATGTCTCACGACAGTTATTATAAAAACAGAAAGGTATTTGTTGATCTGTTGCACTGTATAGGTAATGGTTTAATTTTATAATCGATATTAATATAACTTTGTCTATTGTAAATAGTTTCTAGTTTATTAATCTTAGGTTTTAATTTATTTAAGTTACAAACTTATGAGCTGTTTTTGTTAGACTTATCTATTTCTTTTTTGTGTGTGGCATAATTCTGGGTTTATATTTTTTCATTGACTTTGTGTACGTAATTATTTATTGTATCATTTTTTTCCATTATAATATACAGGTGTAGTTAATTCAGCTTAAATTTTAATTTTAATTACAATTACAATGACATTGTGATAATATATTTATAAGTGATGAATAAAGACAATGGAAAAGTTATTGTTTTGTTTTATTTATTTCTTAAAACAAAATAATCTTACACGTATGTAACTCTGGTTAGAAACATATTTTAGAAACTGAAAAACAAAATATTATTATGTAAAACATTAACAATAGCAATATCACTATCACTTCACAATTAAAATATTCATTTAAGGGCCGATTATTCCAATGCCAGATAAATTTCAACAGACGAATAACTTTGAATATTTGACAATTCTTTCATAATAAAAACTGTAAAACGTCAATTTTATTATATAGTTAAGAATTAACTGATGATTGAAAAAGCGGCTCTAAAGCTGAAAAGGAAACTTGATTCGACCACAGAATCGAATTTTGTCAATAATAACTTAGTAGGTAGATGTCAATGAAGGTGTGTAGTTCGAAAACTAAAAAAAAATCAATATCATCACTAAATATTTAAGTACTCCTTTGGTATAATTATGGTCTTCTCGCGAAGATCAGCGCTGGTCTCACGGTCTCACGGTCTTTCGTGCCTGCATCCGTAGACCAAAGCATATGTAGAGGTGAGCCTCAAATTACATAAGGCTGCGTTGTTGTGGTAGTTCTGTTCTGCTACTCTAGCGTGAGGATTTACAGCCACCTGAAAAATAGTATGGATTTGAAATACTTCTTTTATAATCTTTACTCTTATAAATTAAAAAACAAAAAAATAAAGTACAATATGTCCTCCACGCACCATTCTTTAGAATTTTTTTGTGGCCGGATGACATGGCTAATTTTATATATTAAACTGTCAAACACCAAGCGGTCACCGGTGACCGCAACCTATTGTTCTTTAATTGTGTCTATAAAACCGGTACTCGACGAGTTAATAAATTAAATCTGGTTATTATTCTATTGTTTGACAAAAAAGCATCTTAAGAAGACCCCTCTTGTAGATGAGAACCATAGTCTAACAGTTCATCTGTTCATCAGTGAGCTGCGCGACGTCGCCGCGACCGCGTACGCTGCTCATGAGGAAGAACCCCTCTGTGGTTCGAAACTTTTAGAGCTTTTCTCAGTATATTCACGTGTGTAACCCGCGTTTTTACTTAACTTAGTATGTCTCACGATAGTTATTACAAAAACACAGTTCATCTGTTATGGATTTTAACAATTTATTACGTTGTAAAACTAATATATTCCAAAGACAGAACAGTTTTAGCAATGGACGAAAACGAAATAGATTTAACAGTGAATAACTAACTATAAATTGTTCAATCTGAAGGAGAGTCCATCTCTCTCGTACTATCAATGAAACAGAAGAGGAGACTACTAATAGTTGAAATAATAATGGTTATGTTACGTACCTTAAAGTGGTAATCCCCAGGCCCTACGTCTGTGACATCCACCCACTGGCAGTCTATGTTGTACATGTACACATCTGAACAGTTTACTGAGATTCCTGGAACCAATGAACGTACCTTATATCTTAGCTAACGGCAAAGTGACTGGTGACAATTGGTGTTGGTGAGAAGGAGATGAGCAGCAGCTGTAGCCAAATGCCATTTAGCGATTGTCTACATGTAGAATAGAAAACCAAATTATATGGAATTGACGTAAATTTTGACACTTGTCAGTGTCATCCCCATACATTTAATTTTCTACTCTCTCTGTAGATAAGCGCTAAAGTGGCGTTTGACTAAAGACCTTGAAAAAGTTTGAAAAAGAGCTCAATGGCGTGCAAACTTCTCCAGGGTTTATATAATTTAGCAATAATGCATCTTCAAAGCTCTATAATATGTATGGTGTATATCAAACGTTTCACTTGCTGTAACATGGGACTTTTATAAAATGAAGGTAAGGTTTTGTGGTATAATAAATGTAAAACCTTTTTAATCATACCTTGATCACCATAGTTCTTGCAAGAGTATTGTTTCTGCACTCCATTCATGCAAGTGTTGTCTTCCAAACAGAAAGAGGCCTTGTGACCCTCAGCCACTCTGAGGCCATTGTAGTCCAGGACATCGAATGTTGCGAAGACTTCCATACTATGATAATGCCTAAAAAAATTAAAGAATAGTTCAGAAACAATCAGAATTATGACTCAAGTTTGTAATAACTGTAGGTAATCCATCCATGCCATTTAATTTTGCCATCAAGTCTCAGCTACTGAGACATGGGCAGTAGTATTCTTTATTAGACATTCAATGACCTGATATGAGTGTCAAGTTGGTATTTCTTTGATTGAAATTAAGATTCGACAATTATAACTTTTAAAAGAGCCTGTGGCTTAAAATAACTTTTAATTTTTTTTTAAAGTTATGCGTTATTGCTTTCACAACTACTTATTACTTTTTCCATAATTCGGAATATTTTAAATCTTTTGTTAAGACCACACTACAAGGCCACAATAATATACGAAAATATATCTTACATATGACATAGATGCCACTGCCACAAATGTTTTGGTAAGTAAGGCCTGAATTCTGCATTGCCAGCGTTGAGTGATGACGCCGTGAATCGGAGTAGACGCCGAGTCTCATACTGCCAATCTGGTATCAGTTTCTGAACCTGGGATTGGACAAACGTAAATTTAAGTTCATTTTACAATATCTGGTTGAATTATAAAATAAAATGAAAGTTTATTTAAATTCTATGATCTGTGGTTCTAACAGATTGGGGCTGGATGTTTCCATAACGAATTCAAAAACCAAGAAAATTGGCGGGAACGCGGAGCGTCTTCGAACACGCTCACTCACTCAGCGTTTCGGCGGCGACTGATGATGGCGCGAGCGCGGGGCCCGCTCAAACGAGGCGTGGGCGGGGCTTCGAATTTTGATTTTTAGCGCGAATGCGAATTCACTACGTAACCACCATTTTTCTTATCGCGCTATAAAGGAGGTTTTTAACATGAGTTTCCTACAGTGGTACAGAATACCTACATAAATATTTTTTGTATTTTAAGAAAAAAAAACAATATTCAATTTTTACAAATTAATCGAAATTCTTAAATACTAAATATTAAAAAAAAATAAAGAACATAATTTAGAGCTATTCAGGAACATTGAGTGAAATCGCGCGCAAATATATAACCAGTACCTCATAAGCAGTCCTGCTCAAACAGTTCTCCTCCATGGCGCATTGTAGCTGGTACATCATCACGTCTTGCAGGTGAGCTGATCTTTCAATCACTGTCATATCCAGCACCAGGTCGGCGAGGAAGTGGGTGCATACTACCGCTGCTGTGTGACCTGCACCAGAAATAAGAATTAGACTATATTGGTCTGGTTGATGCCTGGTACGGAGCCGTGCAAGACTTAACAGGTTGCCGGGACTTCGGCTCAACGAGCAGAAGTAGGAACGGGGTGGTTTTTAGTCAGTAAGAGTTTGACACTCCCTCTCGCCTCACCCGAGGCTGGACAAGTCTTGGGATAATTTTCCCCCCTAATAAAAATACTGTTTATTTATCCAATTAAAAGACTATTTTGTATTTAAGCAGCATTAAGAAGCATATTTCGATGTTTTTGTCGGTCGATTTTCAGATATCGGATCTTTTTGTTTATTTTGTACGAAGTTTGAACAGTCTAAACTTTTTTATTCTGATTTTTTGAAAACATTGTAGGTACATATTTTTAATAGTTATTAACACACATTCAAAAGAAATTCCCCAGTCAAATCTGAAATAAGTGACAGACTTTTGTTCAGTATTTATTGCAATATGCGAATATACTTCAAGATAGCTAACAATATCAATATTACGTCGCAGTTATTTTGTTAAAAGAATATCAAATAAACTGGGGATGAGCACAGATGGTGGCCAGCTGTCATTGTTTACTTAAATACAAATATATATATATAATATCTACAATGTCTGTCTGGACTGCCTTATAATACTTTTGATTCCACATTAATATCATTTTTTTGGAATATAAATTATCCATTGTATTATAGCTAGATTATTTTCTATATAGTTATTGTAAATATTACTAAAATGGATTCTGACTTTAATAGAAAAATAAATTCTAATACAAATTAGAGTAATTAGGATGGGGTGAACATTGTTATTTTAATTTTAAATTGAGCGACATTTTTCTAAACTTCATGTTACGATAAAAATAATATAATAATATGGTAGATACATATGTAGTGTCGAATATACCTACTTATTGTAACACATTTTCTCTGATCCACAAACCGGAATTGACTTCAGTAGACCAATGAAGTAATCAGTACCAAAATACATTAAAAAAAAACAAATAGGTATACATAACATCACGCCTTTTATCCTCGAAGGGGTAGGCAGACGTGCACATCGTAATATGCACTTTATGCCACTGTACAATGTAACACCCACTTTTCACTATTTATGTTATGAGTCCCATGTAATAGCGAGTGAACCTATTGCCATATACCGGCCACAATACCAGACTCAGCGCTACTACTGAGAAATTCTTAAAAAATCTAGTAATAATTTGCCCGACACGGGGATCGAACACAAAACCCCTGTACCACTTGCACTTGCGACCACTCGGCCCACGAGGCAGTCACAAACAGATAATCTCCTAGGTACAAACAAATAGGTATCTCCTATCTACGAAGCAAACATAAGTCACACACAGGAAACAAGATATCCCGTAACAAAGTAACACAATACATAGTAACTAGAAGTCTGCTTACACCCGTATCCATTCCGTTCCGAGGTGGTAACTTAGTTATTAGCTTAAGCAACTCCTAAGTTACTTGATCAACTTAATTATTCTGTAGGTGAGACATGACGTAGTTGGGTATTACTAGTTTCCTGGTTAGGTTAGGTTTTGTCTTGTTTAATTTTGATAGGTGGGTATGTTATATCATTCCTTTTCTATAAGTGTGGGAGAGCCACGCTTCGGCACGAATGGGCCGGCTCGACCGATCTGATACCACGGCCTCACAGAAAACCGACGTGAAACAACGCTTGCGTTGTGTTTCGTAGTGTGATTGAGGTTACCGGAGGCCCAATTACACCCCTCCCTACTTTGTGGAATCTAGAACTAATTTCGCCAAGTTTTTGCCACACATATTATTATTGGAAGTAAATATAACAGATCGCACATTGGACGCAGTTTGTTTTTAGTCAATTTCTGTCGTGGTGTGGCGACTGGGCTTCTCCTAGTTGTGCAGTCTATTTTTTGTGCTTTTAGGCTTAATTCATCCTGTCCCCTGCACTAATTCATCGAGGGAAGTGGAAAATATTGTTTTTTCCTTCTCTTCTTATAATATCTTCTGATTTATTTCCTTGCGTCTACCAAGACGCCTACCAAGACGTTATTCATGTCCCTGGGACGCGCCGGACTTCAGTGTTCCGATGTTTTCATGGTTGTATCTTCTGTAGATCCTGGCTTATAGGAGTTGCAGCGGTTTTGGGAGGCTGTGGTTGTATTGTTCCGTTAAAAAATGCTTTCTAACATTATAAAGACTCAGTCAGTCAGTCAGTCACGGTTGAGGAGACCACTCTACTAACAAGGCCGTTAGAATGATATGAATAGTTAATTAGTAATAGTGATTAATAAACTATTCCTGTGCTTAGACTATTATATCGGACACATACATAACATAACATAACATCACGCCTTTTATCCCCGAAGGGGTAGGCAGAGGTGCACATAGAAGTAACACCCACTTTTCACTATTTATGTTATGAGTCCCATGTAATAGGGGGTGAGCCTATTGCCAAATACCGGGCACATTTCCAGACTCCGTGCTACTACTGAGATTTTTAAAAAACCCAGTAATACTTTGCCCGACCCGGGAATCGAACCCGAGACCCCTTGCCGCGCTTGCGACCACTCGGCCAACGAGGCAGTCATTATAGCAACGAGTATTATATCGGAATTGTTATGTTATGTATGTAAATACTATAATGCACGGTACACGGTGTAAACTGATAAATTATACAATTAATATCGTTAATCTTTCAGTAAACGTGGTTCAATTTGCATCGCTAATATGAAATTGTAATTTTGGTAAATGCTTGTCACGTTGTTAGCCGGGGTATTAAACTAATTTATGTATGTGAAGTATATTTGTTATCAATATTATGTACAACTTATTTTGTATGCAGGGAATAAAATAAAGATTCAGGGCACGATAGTAGGCTATTGAATCGACTAAAGGTTACAATAGGCTAGTAGAAAGCGTATGAAAATTAAAAATCAGTCAGTTAGATAATTAAAAAAATATTAGACGCATATTTTTCTATTTTGTCGTATAAGAAAACAATATTAAGATAAAACGGAGTTCTGTTTAGGAGTGGGAGGTCGTTACGTCACGCTACCCCATAAAATGTAGTAAGTAGTGACGTCACACGATATTTCAAATCAAAATTTCGTCGGAAGTATTTAATTTTGTAAGACAAGAAAACATAGATGTCTAATGTTTTAAAATAATCTATTTTTTATTTATTTAATTCAACTTCATATAACAAGTGTGTACAGGATGACTTAATGCCTTGGGCATTGTCTCCCAGTCAACCTTTAAGCAGTGCAGACATGAAAGTGGCAGGTGATTTAAACCTTTATAAATAGGCAATGTACCAGTATAATAAATAACAAATATCACAATCATAATATTCATTAAATACTATGCATATAGGTATATTTGCAAACTTATAAATCCACCAGATGGACATAAAAATAAAATTTAGGATACTACTCTATTGGGTTGATTGGATTTGGATTCGTTATAAATTACAAAACATTTAATTTAGATCTAATCTCTAGCCTATAAGTTGCCAATGCTGACCAAAGGCCTTTTGTTATACGGTGATGGTTTGAGCATTAATCGACACGCTTGCTCAATGCGGGTTGGCAAATTCATACTTATAATTAGAAATTATAAGCATAAATTATAAATAATCTTAGAAAGTACGTACATATAACTCGGAAAAAGTCACAATGGTACTTCCCGTTGGTAAGTTTCGAACTCGCAACCTCATGCATGAGAAGCGAGCATCTGAAGTCAAAGTCAAAGTCAAAGCCTTAAATCATTTGTTTCTATTAGACTAGAAAGGCACTTTTGAACGTCAACAACAAAAATTTAGAAGTGAAGCTAGTTGCTCATTCCAAGGCGTAGATTCCTATGGAGAAGAACGAGCAAGAAACTCCATAGGTTACTCTTTTTCAATCGGGTTTACAATACAATTCTCTAGTTACATAGTTTTGTTGGTTCGATTGTGTGAGAACAATGCAACACCTAGATCCAGTCAAAGAGGGAACCAGGGTTCTGTTATTCCTATTGAGGGGTGGGTACAATATTACTCCATGTCCTTTAATAGATATCATTAATTGAGTAACTAGATATAACATTTTCCCCACAACAAATTGAGACTTTTTTTATGGCATAAGCCGGTAAACGAGCATACGGTCACCTGATGGTAAGCAATCGGCGTTGCCCATGGACACTTGGAACACCAGTGGTGTTACAAGTGCATTACCGGCCTTTTGGGGAATAGGAGTTTGAGGATCGTTGGGGATTCAGGAATTGGGGAGATTGGGGAAGGGGAGGGTAATTGGGCCTCCGGTAACCTCACTCATACGACGAAATACAACGCAAGCGTTGCTTCACGTCGGTTTTCTGTGAGGCCGTGGTATCACTCCGGTCAAGCCTTCCCATTCGTGCCAAAGCATGGCTCTCCCACACTTAAAAAGACTAGCCTCCGTAATAACAAATGACAGGACCTCTGGTCGTTATTGGTCAGTAGGTACATTACCTATACATTTTTGCCTGCCATCCTTTAATATTATATGTGCGTATAAGTACATGATTCATAAATAAATTGAATATTCACTGCATCATTAAGTGATAGTGAATGATACTGATAACACATCCGCGGTATTTATTGATTGCTAGATTTTACAAAATTTAATTGAGATTATTTTCATTTTCCTGTCACCGTTCTTCGAAACGATTACTAGAAAGCAAGGACAGCCAAGTATTTTGAAATTTTTCCGTTACAGATAATTCTCATTAAAACATAAGTACTTAGCACAATAAAATCCTTATTACATGGAATTAATCTAGAATAAACTGTGTTACCTAACGCTCCAACAAATGAATAAGCAATATCCCCTTTAATTTTTAATAACAAAATTTTCAAACAATCTTATACCTTACCGACTTCAAACTACATTCAAAATTCAACCATTACTCATCCACTATAAAAGTCAAATTTACTCACCAATATCACCAGGACATTTGACATTGCCTCGCTGCTTATGTTTACAGTCAAACAGGGTTGACTCATTGCCTTCACAAGAAACGCCACTGAGTATGATATTAGAAAACCCGAAGACATAAGTCTGTAAGGCTTGTTCTGCAAAACCGAGGCCAAGATGGCGGCAGACTGCGGAAGCTTCGTAGACCGTCCAGCCGTCAGGGCAGATGCTGCCCCAGGTGCCCTTGAGGAAGATCTGGACGAAATGGAATTGGTTGAACTAATAGATGAATATACAGTGGTAAATCTGCTACCTACTTGATCATCTAATTAAGATTTACCGATAGAGAGCTGATGTTATGTTCAAAATATTACATAACATAATATCACGGCTTTTATCCCCGAAGGCGTAGGTAAAGCTGCACATTACGGCACGTAATGCCACTATATAATGTAACACCTACTTTACACTATTCATGTTATGAGTCCCATGTAATAGGGGTGAGCGTATTGCCATACACCAGGCACAATTCCAGATTTCTTTTTAATAAACCCAATAATACCTTGCCCGACCCGGGTTTCGAACCTGGCCAACAAGGCAGTCGTTATGTAAAAATAAGGCACAAACCTCAACTCTTCCTTCTCTGATATTCTTGCCGCCAGTCAGCCTTAGTTTAGACATCGAAATATCTATAACATCTCTAAGTTTCTCTTCTTTATACACTAGCTGTACAGAATCCTGATCCTTACTTTTTGCTGGTAATTGCCTTTCATCCATACATATGACTCCAGCTACCTCGTCTTTACCACAATCTGTAGATCCCCATCGATTAAAAACACACTTGGAAATTGATGCTTCATCTCCTTGACATATGACGTCATCTAGCCAGAATTTTTCTAAGGGAAAAATCAATTAAGTAGGTTAAAATACGTCATTAGTTTACTAATCTACAAATCAAATATTTCCAAAATTGTGCAATATGATATTGGATTGGTATCGTTTTCAGAAAAGTAAAGATTATTATTAAACCTTAATCAATTTTTTTTAAGATTAATAATGGCCCACACTAGAATTTTTTTCTGTGTTGTGACTGCGTTTATTATACTTTTGGTACTGAAGCTATAAATATTGTTAATAAGTGGGAGAGCAATGCTTCGGCACGAATGGGCCGGCTCGACCGGAGTGATACCACGGCGTAAACCGGCGTGAAGCAACGTCTGCGTTGTGTTTCGTCATGTGAGTGAGGTTACCGGGTGCCCAATTACCCTCCCCTTCCCCAATATTCCCAATTCCTGAATCCCCAACGATCCTCAAACTCCTAATCCCCAAAAGGCCGGTAACGCACTTGTAACGCCTCTGGTGTTCCAGTTGTCCATGGGCGACGCTGATTGCTTACCATCAGGTGATCCATTTGCTCGTTTACCGGCTTATGCCATAAAAAAAAGAAATTAATACTCACAAACTTAGAAAGATCAGAAAAGTACACATGTTAAAGGCAGATTTCATTGATCTGGTCCTTGAACGATTTTCATTTAGATCTTACCAGTAGCTTCTCCATACTGACTACCGACCGTCGCAATCCCACTCAAGTTGAAGGACCTGCAGACGACTGCAGCAGCTTCATCATCCCAGTTGTCATCACATACTGCTCCCCAACGACCAGCGTGATAAATGTAGACGTTGCCTACAATAACACAAACGTCTTTGGTTTAGTACTAATATATCATAACATAACATCACGCCTTTTATCTCCGAAGGGCTAGGCAGAGGTGCACATTATGCTACTGTACAATGTAACACCCACTTTTCAATATTTATGTTATGAGTCCCATGTAATAGGAGGTGAGCCTATTGCCATATACCGGGCACAATTCCAGACTCCGTGCTACTACTGAGAATTTTTCTAAAACCCAGTAATACTTTGCCCGACCCGGAGAATCGAACCTGAGACCCCTTGCCCGGCAGTCGCACTTGCGACCACTCGGCCAACGAGGCAGCCTCTCAACTCTCAACTCTCAACTAATATAACAATATAACAATAACAACACAAATAAAATTATTTTTATTGTAATCAGTAGTACCGAAGACTAGCGCGCTCAAAGGAGTTGTTTCATTTTTATATGGTTCTCCGGCCACAACATGTAGTACATAATAGGAAAGGTGGGAAATAAGCTACTGCATTGTTTATAACTAACATGTTTATGAAACAGGTTTCATTTTCAATTATTTACAAATTAAAAATTCAAAATATATAACAAACAAAAATAAACTCTTCATAATCTCTTCTTTTTTCAATTATCTTTTCAGTTTTATAATCTACTAGCGGACCCAACAGACGTTGTCCTGCATACCCACTTGAATGTATAAACAAAAATTCAAATTAGTTGAGCTGTTTAGGATAATTAACCTAAACATCGACTACAGCGCCATCTGCCGGGCTGATTTGTGAATCTAAACCATTCCCAGTTCCCCTTGAACACACACAAAAAATTTCACCAAAATCGGTCCAGTCGCTTGAGAGAAGTTCAGTGACATACACACTCATAAAAGAATTATATATATAAAGATATATATGAAAATAAAACCCGTTTCTCGTTGTCACGCCATAATTTGAGAACGGCTAGACCGATTTGGCTCCTAAAAATCCTACGGGAATGGGAGAAAACGAGATTACGCGTACGAAGTCGCGGGCAGAAACTAGTATTAGTATAAATGTGCTAAAATTGCGACTAGCTTATAAATAACAGCGACGAGAATATTAATTCTTCGGTACTCTTTGAAACTTCTCCTTTGAAATGTGTAAATATTAGTTTAGAAGTAACTAATAGACAGAAATGAAAGTATTGCTATACTAATACGTTATAAGATATTGTCTTGGATTTCGTTCTTTCTTATTATATTATGTTATTTCTCTTTTTATTATTATTTTAATAGTTCTTTTGGCCTCGTTGGCCGAGTGGTCGCAAGTGCGACTGCCAGACAAAATCTCGGGTTCGATTCCTGGGTCGGGCAAAGAATTACTGGGTTTTAAAAAAAATCTCAGTAGTAGCACGGAGTCTGGAAATGTGCCCGGTATATGGCAATAGGCTCACCCCTATAACATAAATAGTGAAAAGTGGATGTTACTTCTGTGTCCACCTCTGCCTACCCCTTCGGGGATAAAAGGCGTGATGTTGTGTTATGTTTTATGTATTTTGTAAATGCTTTTTTGCGTGATATTACTGAGCAGCTCAGATTTATATGATTATAAAGAGATTCAGATAAAATGTACATTTTCCAATGAATAAAGGAGACAACATTAAGACGCCCGCTTCTCATGCATGAGGGTGTGGGTTTGAAACCTACCAACGTCAAGTACCAATGTGACTTTTGCCGAGTTAAATGTACTTTCTAAGATTATTTAGACACCACTGACAAATGGTGAAGGAAATCGGACTTATAATTTCTAATTATAAGTTTGAAATCGCCAACCCGTATTGAGCAAGCTTGATGATTAATGCTCAAACCTTCTCCGTGTGAGAAGAAGCTTTGCTCAGCAGTAGGCAGTGGGCATGAAAGGAAATGAAATGATTCAATGCTAATTTTGAGAATTCTTACTACTTACCTTCATATTTACTGGATCCTCCAACTAATTTTATTTTTCCTTCAAACTTATTTTGTTTATTCAATAATTTCTGAACGAATTCAGCTCTCAAAGCTCTTTCATTCTCACTCACGTTTTTACTAACCACTTTAACTGTCCGTATCAACAATATTATCAAAACTATTAAATTCATCGTATATTTTAATTGTAACATTTTTAATTATTTAATTTTATATTATAATATCATTAATTATATTACTTTAGTAATTTCTACCTTATTTTTCACTTTTATTATTCATCAAAATTGGGTTGGACCTAAAATGTCTCCTTGGGGAAGACCACATAAATTTTTTTTTTAGTTTTTGTTCTATAAAGTTTATTTTATTTTGTTAACATTTTGTTTTTGGTATCAAATTTTTGTTAGATTTTTATATCAAATATTAAAATTTTCTATGAAACACTGATTAAGATTGTCAATAGCAAAGTCTTGGCAACAACTGATGCTAGTTCGTTAGTTCTATTGCTTTGAATGCCATGTAATTATTAGTTCAATGTCATGATATATTGTGATGGGATCGCCACATGCGTTTAATTTTATTCGTTTAAGTGGAAGCACTTCTATTTCACAAAATTATTTCAACACCACTTTTTTGTTTAACATTTTCATTAGATGTTAATAGGAAAACTGTTCTTTTCTCGTCTTAAAACTGACATTATACAAATTTAAAATTGTTTTATGTGTTACAAAAATCGTAATTTCAAATACATTTTTGAGACAACCATCTAATTAAGATTTGAGAAGATGACTGACTTACTAAAATAACGATACGATTGTTTAGAAAACAAGTGAATTGTATTACTCATTTCACGCGAGTTAGAATTGGCACACACTATGCCACTTGCAGTGGACTAAAAAGTCGCTTATAGTCACTTTACAGTTTTCTTTCGACGTCTTCTCTAAAGAGTTTTCGTAAGATACTGTCTTATGTGTGTGTAGATTGCTACAGTAAAAGTCTTGGACTAAAAAATTATTGAGAGAAATACAAAATTGATCGACAGAATTCTAGTTTGTCAGGCAAAGCCTGATTGGGTATTGTTTCTTTAAAATATTGTAGTAACTGTGCAGATAGAGGTGTTGCATTCTGCTCAAACTATGAAGATAAGAACACAGCTGTAATAAGCTTAAATAGCCTCTTTTTAGAGAAGTACTGTAATATTAATTAAATATTAATTTTAGTTTTATTGATTATCGTGGTGGCCCAGTACCACCGGCAAGTACCAATATGACCTTTTACCGAGTTATATAGTATGTACTTTCTCCGGGGCTCCAGCTTGAAGTGCAGTAGTAGGAACGGGGTCGTTTTTAGTCAGTAAGAGTCTGACACTCCCTCTCGTCTCACTCGGGCGGGTAGAAGACATTGGATGATTCTTCACCCTCAAAAAAAAACAAATATTTAAAAAAAGTTTATTTAGATACCACTGACAAACGGTGAAGAAAAACGTCGTGAGGAAATCTAGACTTATAATTTCTATATCTAGAAAATCTAGGCTTAAATATGCAGCTGATGATTGATTTCAGTCAATTTCTTTTCAGACCGTAAACATATTATCAGTTTGATACTTATCTTTGGCGATTAGTAGACTACAAGTCGCCACATGTTGATAAGCGTGTGCGAAAACTTATGTGGATAAAATCAATGCGCAACGATACATGACATCATCTTAGAGTAATTATGTATCTTTGATTATCCCATTATTATTTTTCAAACATATTTTTAGTTACAAAATTCTTTGGATAGGCTTGAATTGTGTTTTTAATTGTTTTCTAATTAATTTCAATTGTATAGATATCAATATACAGACAAACGTTGCGTTCGGTTTTAACAATAATGTTTTTACAAGTGAAAACAATGTCCAAGAATCTCAAAATTGTCGGTCGGTAAAACTAATGCCTGGTTTCATAAACATATCTTAAATTTAAGGGATTCCTAAGCTAAAAGGTCAATAACAACATTTTACGATCCGTCGTCTACAGCGCATTTTCTATTGTGTCTTATATAAAACATCTATATCTGTAGGTACATAGGTATAATAAAATCGTAGAGAAGACAAAAGTGTACATTGAATATTTCTATAAAAGAATACTTTTTTTTTAAGGGGGGATAATCATCGAATGACTGCCCCCACCTGGGTGAGGCGGGAGGGAGTGTCAGACTCTTACTGACTAAAAACCACCCCGTTCCTTCTCCTGCACGTCGAGCCGGAGCCCCGGTTACCCGTTAGGTTCTCCGCGACATAAAAGAATACTTGGAACGTGATCTACAATCGATACCGAAGCCAAAAATATAGTTTTTAGAATTTTTGTCTGTTTGTCAGTATGTATGTCCGGGCTAAACTCAAAAAGTACTGCATAGATTTAATCGTGATAGTATCTAATATTTTTTAATCGTCTAACATCGTTTCCCAGCCTGTGGTCCGCGGACCCCTGGGGTCCGCGAGTATATGAATGGGGGACCGCAGTGTTATCTCTAGACCACACAGAAATCGCTCATTAGTTTAATGGTTTGCCAGTTTAACCAGTTTAATTTAGAAAAATGACATCTTAGCACACGAAATTTTTAAAATCCAACCTAATGATGTAGTTATAAAAACATTGTATAATTAATTTGTCTAAAATTCATAAAAAGGTTTTTTAATTTTCATACACTGTTAACTACTGTATTTGGGTTTGTTAGCTTGATTACCAGCTAAAAAATTTATACGTACGTATTGATATTTTGCTTAGAAAAAAATAAAATAAAAATCAGATCCGGCTACAAAGTGTCCCCTTTACAATTCACATACAGAAATATGAGGAACACATTAGACCATTTGACCTAAATATGTGGTCGCAAATGACTTCACGGATTGAATTGTTTGTTTAAACCACACAATTGAATTCAGACCCTATTACCAAAGTAAAGAGGTTATTAATTGAACGAAGTTGGTCTTAAATAAAAATGTTCATAAGAAAAATTCTGATTTCACATTGATGTCATACGTATTTGTAAATGATGCAGTTGTGTTAATGATTTTTATGTTCTGTCAAAGTTAAAACAATATTGTGTATTTGCGATGGGTCAAATATAAATTATTTTGATTTTTCAATCCAATTAAATAAACAAAAAAAATCAATTTCATTCACATATTTGACGATATACTTATTTACCGATTTATTCTAGAATTTTTTTCAGAAATAGGTGTGCTACTTGACTCGGAAATATGATGACGTCATAAGTTAGTTTTTGGTACAAAATTCATAGAACAATATCGTTTTTTACGTTTTGATAAAATAAAAGTATGGAATTTGATTAGTTGTAAAATTCCGTATTATTCCAATTAATTTACATACATTTATTTCTATACGTAACGTCAAGTCGGAGTCGCGGAGAACCTAACGGGTTACCGGGGCTCCGGCTCGACGTGCAGGAGAAGGAACGGGGTGGTTTTTAGTCAGTAAGAGTCTGACACTCCCTCCCGCCTCACTCAGGCGGGAGCAGTCATTCGATGATATTCCCGCCTTAAAAAAAAACGTAATTTCAAAATATCTGTTCGTCATTTGTCAATCAGTCTGTCATTGAAGGACTTGTTCGAAAATGTAAATTTGTAGGAAGAAAAATGAGAAAGAAGCTGAATCGCTACTTTTTTACTGAAATTTTGTCGAATGCTGTACCTATTGTTAAATCTAAAGAACGAATCAAAACCATGACCTCACATTCAGCCGTCTTAATTGAAGTTACTAGGTCAAATAAATTGATTATAATCATCGTATAAACGCTTCGTATTAGTCTATAATGGTGTTAATCACAATAAAGTTGTATTTAAAGCTCCCTGATACTGAAACAGACAAAATTGAATCGTTTATTTAAAAAATAATGAATAAAAGATTTTTGTATTGTAATATTCGTGAGACATACTAAATAAATTATTATGTTATTATGCGAAATTCTGCTCATGAATATGAGCCTCTAGCATGGTTTGAAACTAGTCGAGTTCCTCGTCAAATTATTACGTGAGTAAGCCGAAAGCATAATAATTTAAAAGATTTTTCTTTTCTCATTATTATAATTCTTTTTTTTAAAAACGTATTGCCCCACATTAGGATTTTCTCCTGTATCGTAGGTACGTTTACAAACATACAAGTTCACATACACGTTGCACCCAGACCCGTAACAAAAATCTGTGGACCACACAAAGAGTTGTTCCGTGCGGGAATCGAACACGCGACACTTATTATTATTGTATGCCTCAACAACGGTGGGACATAACTGAACTTCTTTTTATTATTTAAGACCTGTATTTATGATGCATACCTATAGTCCACAATCAAGACGATTTGATTTGATTGCGCGGCAGCCAGTTGCCCAGTCACCGCGTCAACCATGCAGTTAAATATAATATTCGTTCCAAACATTTTCACTGGCAATGATGGCGTATTGGTTGGGGCCACTTTACATGGTATCCTATGGGAGTATGATGTCTCAGGCTAGGTTAGACTTTGATTTCAATTGCCAATAGGTAATACTATACTGAGGCAGACCCTACTATGGTAAATCGCCTTCATGGTTTAAATAGTCTATATTAGCATGTAATGTCGCAATACAATGTCGTAGTGGCCCGGGCGGATGTTTGAGATGCCCGACGGCAAGTACTAATGAGTTATACATATGTACTTTCTAAGATTATAAGACAACACTGACAAACGGTGAAGGAAAACATCGTGAGGAAACCTGGGCTTATAATTTCTAATTATAAGTTTGTAATCACCAACCCGCATTAAGCAAGCGTGGCGATTAATGCTTAAACCTTATCCGTGTGTGGCCACTTGGTCACTGGTGACCAAAGACAAACGAAACCAATTATCTATTCACAAAGAATGAATATCTAATTACCACATTATAGTTCCTGCGTGTCTGTGCAACAATGTTACAACTTATAAACACTGTATTCTTTAAGTTTAAGCACTAAGTTAGGGTTCCTAAGTTATGAACTAAGCGGTAACGTTAAGCTACTTAAACTTTTGCTTGTCGGTTAAATGAGAATTAGGGTGCGAGGGAGAGAAGTTAGCGATAGTTGCTAAGTATAATCCTTTACAATAGTTGTTTCCAGTTATTATTTTCTAGGTAGAAATTTGACTTAACATAACATATAACATCACGCTTTTTATCCTCGAAG